CTGTGATAGTATCTTGCAAAACTGTAGTATAATATCATGACCACAATATTGAAGTTAATACATTATATATGGAACATGAATTGGTAGACTTTTAAATAACTCTTGTCATCTTCCTTGTTTGTGATTCTTAATTAGAGCTGGGTTCTGAGTTAAGTGACAGAGTGTTAGAATAATATCCTAACTATTATTCTAATAGTGTTTATCTGTTGTTCTCATTTGCTTTATTCAATATATGATACCATAGGCATTTTCTCTCCCTAGGCACTTCCTAGTCCCTCTTTGACATATTTCTAGTTCTTTTTTTCCCTCAACTTTATTGAGATAGAATTGACATATGACATTGTGCAAGTTTAAGTCTACAATGAGTTGGTTTTATATGTTTATATATTTCAAAGTTATTTAACACCATAGCATTCATTAACAACTGTTGTCACCTCACATAATTACTGTTTCCTTTTTGTGGTGAAAACATCTAAGATCTACTCTCTTAGCAACTTACAATTATATACTATGGTATTGTTAACTCTACCTAGTCCTTTGAAGTAATCAAAACTATGGAAAGACGGTTGGTTGAAAATTCCTGATGTCATCAATATCCATGAAATACATTTATTATATTAGCGCTTGCCCCAGAAAACTCCATAAATAGTCTTCCATAGGTAAGAGTGAAATTGCAACTTCTGATGACAGTTGTTTGCTTTTCTAAGGAATTAGGACTTAGCAGTCCTTTTCAGGTTTTTTGGGAGAATAAAGACCTAGTTTTATTTTGCTACATTGTGAAAAGGGAAAATTTTCCCGAGAAAGCGCAGATCTCCCATGTAAAGTAATGATGGCAGTGTTGAAAACTTAAACTTGCTCCTATTCTGAAACTTGCTCCTATTCTGCCAGTGTCCCTGGGTGAAAGGAGTTTCCTCTTGGGCTTTAGAGTAGAAGGATTGAAAAGAAGCATAATTACAGCCTTGAATAGAAGTGACCCCCTGGGATTTTCCTTTGTCATGACATGTCACTTAAAACTTAGAATACAGTAATCATGTACAGGCTTATTCACCTGTCATTGATCCTCATTTTATATGTAGCTATGTTGTCTAGGAGAAGTTTTCACTTTCTCTTTTCTTATTTATTTATTTTATGGCTATGCCACGCAGCATGCGTGATCTTATCTCCCTGACCAGGGATCCAGCTCAAACCTCCTGCACTGGAAGCATAGAGCCCCAACCATTAGACTGCCAGGAAATTCTCTCTTTTCTCTTATAAAAACAGAGTTTCATAGTACTAAGAAAAGGGACATTTAAATGTTTGACCAGTGATATCTTGGTGGCTTAGAGAGTGTTATTTATATGTACATTTATATGCAGAATTGTATACTAACTAGTTCACAAGAAAAAAAAAATCAGCAGAGTCTAATTTTGACTAATCAGAATGGGAAAGACAGGAGGAAGAGAAAAAACAACATTGGGATTTTGAGTCCAGAAATGATTGGAAGACTGAGGCTGATATGACAGAAAGGGAAGCCCAGAGGGCCATAAGATTTGGGCAGAAAGACTGTAAGTTTTGTTCTTACATTTGAGGTGATAGCCATATTTCTAGACTCAGGTTCAATCCCTGGGTTTGAAAGATCCCCTGGAGAAGGAAATTGCAGCCCACCCCAGTATTCTTGCCTGGGAAATTCCTTGGACGGAGGAACCTGGAGGGCTATAGTCCCTAGGGTCACAAAAGGGTAGGATATGATGGAGCAACTAATAACAACACTAGTTACCTTAGAGTTGTTTTATCAGTGTTCAAAATCAGTGCCTTCTAAGGTGAGGCAAGTCATAGAAATGAATGATCAGGACCTGGTGGGGAGTGAGAGCATCTGTCTCTATTAAAAGGACAGCTAGAATGCCTGCTGGTGTGATTGCCATGTCTTCTGGTTTCCAAGAGAAATTATGCATTAGTTTTGTTTTTTTTTTCACTAAAGCCTTTAAGAGCAGGTAAATAATTCAAGTTTTAAATCAAAACTTTGTTCGCTATGTGCTTCTGCAGCATATGCATTACTCTAGTATAATTTTCATTTAATTCTCACCAATTTTGTACTTACTGCCAGAGAGCTCCAGAAATATGTTTTTGTTTAGTTGCTAAGTCATGTCCAATTCTTTACAACCCTTTGGACAGTAGCTTGCCAGGCTCCTCTCTCTGTGGGATTTCCCAGCAAGAAGACTTGAGTGGGTTGCCATTCCCTTCTCCAGGAGATCTCCCCAAAGCAGGGATCGAACCTGCATCCAGAAACATATTTTACAGGTATCACCTCAAGCATTAAGAACCAAACTTATAGCCTTTGTCCCCAAACCTGCTTGCCCTCTGGGCTTCTCTTTTTGTCTTATCAGCCTGTGTTCCAATCATCTCTGGACTCAAAATCTCAACGTTGTTTTTTTCCCCTCCTATCTTTCCCATTATAATAGGTTGAAACCCAAGTCCATTGATTTTTTTTTTCTTGTGAACTTCCTCCTGTTTTTCATTCCCTTTCCATCCCAGCTACCATATTTCTAACCCTCCTCCTGCTCTAGGATGCACATTCTCCTGCATTCTAGTTCCTATCTCCAGTCTTTTTCAAATACCTCTTTCATTATCTCTCTTCTCACAATCCTCTGTGGGCCTCTATTACATAGTCATATAAATTCCACAACTTCTGCCTAGACCTCTAGGTTTCAGAGTAGTTTTATCTTAGCTGTCTATCTCCATTTCCCCTTGGAACTAACTTCCTGCTTCTTTAGGTCAACTTTCCTCTAATCCAAGGCTTCCTTGGTGGCTAAGATGATAACAAATCTTCTGCAATTCTGGAGACCTGAGTTAAATCCCTGGATAGGGAAGATCCCCCGGAGGAGGAAATGGCAACCCACTCCAGTATTCTTGCCTGGAGAATCCCATGGACAGAGGAGCCTGGTGGGTTTCAATCCATGGGGTCGCAAAGAGTCAGACACGACTGAGTAACTAACACTTACGCTTTTCCCCCAGTCCAGCCTCCCAGCTTGGAATCTTGAGAGTTCAGTTCAATTGCTTGCTCCTGTTAATTTCATGGCTGCAGTCACCATCTGCAGATTTTGGAGCCCCAAAAAATAAAGTCTGTCACCGTTTGCATTTTTTCCCCATCTATCTTCCATGAAGTGATGGGAGCAGATGCCATGATCTTAGTTTTCTGAATGTTGAGCTTTAAGCCAGCTTTTTCACTCTCCTCTTTCACTTTCATCAAGGGGCTCTTGAGCTCTTTTTGGCTTGGGCAGGGCTGCCCCTCGACCTTGACTGCTGGTTTGGCACAGATTCTCCCACCCCTTATTTTAATGAGGCTTCCGATACCATTTTGGGCTTCCCTGGTGGCTCAGTGGTAAAAGAATCTGCCTGCCAATGCAGGAGACCCGAGTTCTTTCCCTGGGTTGGGAAGATCCCCTGGAGAAGGAAATGGCACTCCACTCCAGTATTCTTGCCTGGAGAATCTCATGGACAGAGGAGCCTCGTGGGCTATAGTTGATGGTGAGGCAGAGTCGGACGTGACTGAGCTACTAAACGGCAACCGTTACTGTTCGGGCTGCAAGCCTCAGGGCAAGAAGGAGGTGGGATAAAAGAAGACCCCAGATGAATCCTGTAGCAGGGGCTAGACTGGAGAAGGAAGAAGGCTGCCTAGGGCTTCAGATTCCCATGATGACCTAGCTAGGGCTTCTGCTATAGGAGGCTTTGGTCTGCCTTCTGTTACCACCACAGAGAGTTTCTTCTCCAACAGACTTCTGCTTTCTCTCCCTCTGGCTAAGGGCAAAAATTCTGGCTTTGTTTCTCTGAAACTGTACTAATTATAGGCATTTTGTGCTTTGAATTCAACGTATGCTCCTTAGTCTTGCAGGCCACCCAGTTTTACATGCTGTCAGATAACTTGGTTGCTTTAATCTACTGGAGCAACTTGTCAGTCAATTGATTAAACTTCCCTATTCAGCAAGCCTTAAGAGAATTCCTTATTTTAGTGCAGTAGTGAGACTTCACTGAAATAGATTCTCTCTTGCCCTCTTTGGCACTTTGTTTACGCTCCTGCAGTGGCAGGGGCGCCTAGAATTATAGTTATCTGAGCTTGTGACTGTCTCCCGTTTCACTTGGAGTGGTGACCAGCCATTGCTACTTGTATGTGTCTCCAACAACGCCATGTCCGGCAGGTGGCAAGCACAAAATTCATGATACGTCCTGAGTCTATTGTGTATTCTCAGTTGTGTCCAGCTCTTTGCGATCCTTTGGACTATAGCCCGCCAGGCTCCTCTATCCATAGGGATTCTCCAGGCAAGAATACTGAACTGGGTTGCCATTTCCTCCTCCAGGGAATCTTCCCAACCCAGAGGTTGAACCTGCATCTATCTCCTACATTGGCAGGCGGATTCTTTACCGCTGAGTCACCTGGGAAACCTCCAAGTCTCCAAATCTGTGGCTGTAATTAACTGAGATATGAATGTGGGTTGATTGTTAATCCCCAGTTGAATGGCAGGCTCTTAAACATAGTCCACTCAGCATGAGTCTCAGATTCTCCAGAAGCATTTTGCATACCTGATCCCATTTAATCAGGACATTACCCCCAAAATGAGTGGTATTTTTTTTTCTTCCTCAGTTGCAAATTGTTTCATACCATTCGCTTGCTAATAGACAAAACCACTAATGGCAAATCTGTGAATGCCAAGGGCCCAAGTGTGGATGGGTAGATGAATAGATGATTAGAAAAAGTAATTTGATTAAATGATGTGTTTGCAAAGGGCTTACCATACTAATACATGAAACATTTAGATCAAGAATGTTCAGAAGATTAAGCTGAGAAACAAGAGATGAAATAACCTGGAATAATAGATACTGTGTAATAATTAAAACAATTTTTATTTTTAGCTTTTATGTCTCCATAGAAGGAATAAAATGTATAAGGTGAAGATTATAGTGAACTTTCTCAGCTCTCAGTAAGAATTCATTTCTCTTACTTCTTATGTCCTTTTTTTCTTTACCAGGTGATGGCTGTGGGCACATAGTGACCTATAAGGACAGTGGCACCATGACATCTAAGAATTATCCAGGGACATACCCCAATCACACTGCCTGTGAAAGGACGCTCACAGTACCGAAGGGGAAGAGATTGATTCTGAGGTTGGGAGATTTGGATATTGAATCCCAGACCTGTGCCTCTGACTACCTTCTCTTCACTAGCTCTTCTGATCAATATGGTAAGAAAAGAGCTCTCACTTTCTGCCAGTGGGGGAAATTTTGAGATGTGGAGAGGAGGCAAGTGGTGTGTTCATGAGCGTCACAGCCTGGGGAGATCCGAAGAGAAACTTGCACTTTGTAGACTCAGGGTTGTTCACGTGGATACACTTGCTTCATAAGCCGCAACAAAGACAACTGAGGAAGTATTAGCAGTTTGTGTGGATCTCAGGAGCTTAGTTTGAGTTTATGTCTTGCTGGGAAGAGAACTGGAGATGTGTATGTAGCATTTGGCTAAAATATCTACAGTTCATTCATTCATGTGACGAATACGCATTGAACAGTGGTCACGTGTTCAGGTACTCTGTGAAGGACTAAGTGGGATATAGCAGTGAAAAGACAGAGTTCCTCTTTTTGTGGCACTTGTATTGGTGGAGGGACAAGTGGAAAACAGCAAACAAATGCATCAATAATGTGAGAGGTAGTGAGGAAGAAAAATAAGGAATAAGAAAAGTAAGTCATCCTAAGGTGATGTCGAGTCTGGTTCTGAGTGTGTTTGTGTTCAGATGGGATGGTCAAGAAGCCTTCTCCAACAAGAGGGCATTTGAGCAGGGACCCAAGTGAACTGAATGAAGGCACAACACACCTATGTCTATGGGCAGGTTTCTGGGTAGGGGAAAGGCAAGTGCAAAGAACAGTTTTCAGAGTAACCTTTTGAAATTAAGCTCTTTGTGGTTTCAATATGCTGTTAGCACACTGGTATCTGAACTCACATTAACAGTGACCCTACAGTCCTTAGCCCAAGGAAACAACTTGGATTTAAATGACTAGAAAACAAGAACAGAGTCTTATATATAGGTTCTTCCGAGGTTAGAGTTTTTCTGAAATTCACTGTGCATACAGCTCTGAAAATGATACAGGTTTTAAGCAAAACCCTGTCCACCTGCTAGTTTCGTAGGTAATTTCTCTCAAGCACACAGCTTTCTGGGCTGTCTTTACCTTTGTACCCAGAGAGTCTGCACTTCTCCCAGTGTGGTGCCTCCTCCCAGCCTGAAAACCCAGACCAGCCCGGAGACTGTTCAGGGGTCTAAAGTTACCTAGTCCTCATGGAGGAAATGGAGAAGGCAATGGCACCCCACTCCAGTATTCTTGCCTGGAGAATCCCATGGACGGAGGAGCCTGGTGGGCTGCAGTCCATGGGGTCGCTAAGAGTAAGACACAACTGAGTGACTTCACGTTCACTTTTCACTTTCATGCATTGGAGAAGGAAATGGCAACCCACTCCAGTGTTCTTGCCTGGAGAATCCCAGGGACGGGGGAGCCTGGTGGGCTGCGGTCTATGGGGTCGCAGAGTCGGACACGACTGAAGTGACTTAGCAGCAGCAGTAGCATGGAGGGAAAAAATCTGAGTTTTGCTTTGTTTTGTTTTTTAATGCCTGGGAATATTATCTGTTGTAATGATGGCTCAGTTACTCTGACAGTAAAGATGGTTGATTTCATAAAATTTGTTGTTGTTCAGTCACTAAGTCATGTCGGACTCTTTGCTATCCCATGAACTGCAGCAGGCCAGGCTGCCCTGGCCTTCACAATCTCTCTGAGTTTGCTCAAACTCATGTACATTGAGTCGGTGATGCCAGCCAATCATCTCATCCTCTGTCACCTCCTTCTCCTGCCTTCAATCTTTCCCAGCATCAGGGAAAGAGTTCCTATGAGTCGGCTTTTCATATCAGGTGGCCAAAGTATTGGACCTTCAGCTTCAGCATCAGTCCTTCCAGTGAATATTCAAGGTTGATTTCCTTTAGGATTGACTGGTTTGATCTCCTTGCTGTCCAAGGGACTCTCAAGAGTCTTCTCCAGCACCACAGTTCGTGGAGAAGGGAATGGCAACCCACTTCAGTATTGTTGCCTTGAGAACCCCATGAACAGTGTGAAAAGACTTTCATAAAATTAAATTGCAATTAACAAGTTGCAAGTTTTTACTTCCAGTTTGACTCAAAGGGGGAAAATGCAAACTCCAGGAGTGCTGGGATCACTTACTGTTCAGGTAGCTCTGGTAATGGCAGGTGTATTAATTGACGGAGGCACTCTTTAGGGAATCCCTCACTAGCCAGGACATTCCCTCCAGATTCAGAAGGGGGCACTGAATGTCAGAGCTCCCGTGTAGAAGGCGAGGGAAGGTGCTCCAGGGCCAGGACGGCTTTCTCATGGCTCGTCTCTGGAGAAGCATCTACTTTCCCTGAAGATGAACAGTTAATTCTACCAACTGACAGAGCAGCAGTCTGATCGTCTCTGTTGCCTTAGGTCTCAGCTTAGGGGCTGAGGTGAGAACTAGAAAGGGGGGCAGATTGTTCTGAAGCATGATTGGAGGATGGGTGTGGCTTTCCCATGCGTTTTTGATGTATGTTCACAAACAGAAAAGAGGAAAAGCCTGGGATTTAACTGTATTTTGAGAACTTCCCTGGTGGCTCAGATGGTAAAGAATCTGCCTGCAATGCAGGAGACCCGGGCTTGATCCCTGGGACGCGAAGATCCCCTGGAGAAGGGAGTGGCAATCCACTCCCAGTATTCTTGCCTGAGAATCCCACGGACAGGGGAGCCTGGCAGGCTATAGTCCTTGGGTCTCAAAGAGTCGGACATGACTGAGTGACTAGCATTTAACTGCATTTTAGGAGCTGGGTTACAAGGTGATCATGGTTGGCATCAGAGCACTCTACTCCACGTTTCTAGCTTCTTGAATTTTCAAGAGTTAGACACTTCACTTGGAAGTGGTAATGAATTGCCATTCATTTCAATAAAGCCTAGTAAATTTGTTTTTCTCTTCAGATTTTTTTCCTACATAGTTATGCTTGTTTTTTAAAAACAAAATATATGCTCATTATAGAAGTAAGCATATTCATTGTATGCCAGGCATAGGTTTGGCCTTAGGTAGAATTTCTGGAATCCTCATATTCCCCCCTGCAAGGTTGTTACTATTAACTTTTTTTGCAAATAGAGAAACTGAGGCATGATGAGTTTTGTTGTTTCATTCTTTTTTTTCTTTACTGTACTGTGTAGCTTGTGGGATCTCAGTTCCCCAACCAGAGACTGAACCTGGGTCCTGGCAGTGAAATCATTGTGTCCTAACTAACCACTGGACTGTCAGGGAGTTCCCAAGAATTTTTTTTTTTTTTTCAACTAACATGCTGAAGATCACACAGCTAGTTACGGGCTGAAAGGAAAATTTATGTCTATGTCTCTGTGGTTTCAAGACATCTGTTTCCAGATGTCTCTTTCTCCCCAAGTCCCAACACCCAAAGAAAGCCGGATGCTCAACTGCCTGCCCAGGTGGCTCCGCCCAGTACTACATCAGACAGCAATTTTGCCTAAAACACAAGTGTAGTTAAAATTTTGGGTTGGGGATGTTCTTAAGATAAAATACTTATTGATGCTTAGAATTAGTTTATTTTGAGACTACTTTAAAGATTTCTTGATCAGTCACATTAAGGCAAATCTAGTAGACAGGAATAATAGAAATTAGCAATGAAAGGACTACACAGAAAGGAAATTAGAACATTTCAATCCTATAAGCATATTTTAGAAGAATTAAATAGCTCAGAGCACATAGAGCGGGTATACACATGCATATGCATGTATGTTGCATCTGTATATTTGTGTCTTTGTATAATAATTCTGAAGAGCATTCTTGGAGAAGCTGCTTATTCATATATTTGTATTTATAATATTTCATCCAGTGATTTGAATATAGTAGATACTCTGTGAATAAATGATTTAAAAAGTAAATGGGCAAGTTCAGTGGCGAGGAACCAGTTAAGTAAAGCATATAATACTTATTTGCAATATTGAACAGCTATCTGTTAAAAAGACAGTTAAATGGAAAGCTGCTTATGATGATGTTGTTGTTGTCGAGTTGCTAAGTTGTATCCAACTCTTCTGTGAGCCCACCAGGCTCCTTTATCCCGGGGATTTCCCAGGAAAAAAATACTGGAGTGGGTTGCCAGTTTCTTCTCCAGGGCATCTTCCTGACCCAGGGATTGAATCCAAGTCTCCTGCATTGGCAGGTAGATCCTTTACCTTTGAGCCATGATGTAGTGTTAGGTGAAATATGAATACATAGTAATGTTATAATAATAGAAAAAAGCCTCTAAACAGAGTGAGAACATGACTGCAGCAAATTGTTAGGAGGAGGATTTTATTTTATTTTATTTTTTTTAGGAGGAGGATTTTAGAAGGTTCAACTTGGTGTATTGTTTTTGTCTTCCCTTGACTCTTGTTTTCTTTCATAAAGATTTGTTTCTTAATAAAAACAAGTAGATTTTCTTTGACTAAGATCACTGACTTTAGACCTATATTTAATTGAGTGAAAACAGTCCCCTGGTCAGTGTGAACTTCCTGGCATCTGCCAAGAAGGAAGAGGAGGCTGGAGTGCTTTGTTGGCCTGGGCGAGCTGAGGGAGTGGGCTTTCCTGTGGGGCTCTTGTCCCGCTCCCTGGAGGAGGTGAGGCCCTTCTGCAGCCTCTGTGGCCCCAAGACTGTGGAGGGGGCGTCCCAGGGACCCACAGCGCCTGGAGGAGAGTGTGCACTGCAGTCCCCCTGTGGGGGAGTGGGGGTAGAAATACACCATCAGGAATACCGCCTGCAATTCCAGTATACTGGGCTCTAACAGTTACATGTGTGGCTGAAACAGCTAAATAGTTTTGGTTTATCCAGCTCAGATTTTTTTCAGTTAATTGCTAAAACCCACTGCCAAGAGATTTTAAGACTCAACACTGTCAGACTTTTAAATGTGGAGTTAATGTTTTGAAAAAGAATTATGTCTTCTGGCATTCATGTTTGGAAGCTCTGCAAGAGTGGACATAGTTGGAATGTGATTCATTAACCACTGTGAATAAGCTGAGGTTGTACAGTTTTTAATCATTATGCATTTAATTTATAATTGTTACAAGCTTCTTTTTCCTTGCTGTTTGTGAAATGAAAATAAATATTTATGAAACCACCTTTGTTCTGCTTTCTCCATCACCAATTTT